TGGGAGTTTCTTTTTTTTGCACCTTACTAAGGAATTCTTTAGGAATTCTTAAAGGTGCCATACTAAGGAATTCTTTATTATTTTTTGTTCTTATTCTCCTTGCAGCCTGTCAGATATCTTGCAACTCAGAAGGGAGAATAAAGTCAATCTTCAGGAAAACTGGATCAACTGTTGATATCTCCTGTGATATTAAACAAAGTACCAGGTACATCCACTGGTACTTCTTCCCAGAGGAGATGGTTCCAAGACGCCTTCTCTACTATGACACTTACTACTCAAGCAAGGAGTTGGATTCAGGAACCAGGGCAGATAAATATGATGCTTCTAAAATCACAGACCAGAGTTTTAAGTTGCATCTGAAACGTTTGGAAGCGAGTGACTCTGGTGTGTACTACTGTGCCGTATGGGTAGGGCACAGTGATTCAGACCTGCCCTATGCCACACTAAAAACCTTGCTTGTGGCTGTTCCTGGTACACAATATAGACCAGCCCCTGTCTCACTTCCTGCTCTGACTTCACTGAATTCTGGGCAAACATAAACCTGAGTTGAAGGCTAACCAACCCCTGTTCCATCCCACTCCCTTATCATCAGCAGTACCCTACTCCCAACCTACCCCCAGGATGCTCCTGAAGACTGAGGTACCTTTTCCAGGCCTCAGCCCAGCACCCTGGTTGAAAGCATACTCCTTTCAGTTCTTTTAGGGGCTGATGGAGGTCCATTCTCTCTGTTTCCTGAGACAGTTAAGGGCCTGGAGGTTTGATATGTATATGGAGACTTTAGGGATACCATTGTGGAAGGTTAGTTTACTGAATTATTTATCCAATCATTGTTCAAAAATCATGGCTGGGAATGTTTTTTGTGTATTTTATGTATAACAGTATGAGCAATATTATCATTATCACCAAGAGCATGAGGTCTAGGGCTAGACTGTGCATTTTGAGATTCCTTCCCTCCTTCCCTCTGTTTTATTTTTTTTCATTATTTCTACAATTTTTTTTTAATTTCAGCATATTACAGGGATACAAATGTATAGGTTACATATATTTCCCTTGACCCACCTGAGTCAGAGTTTCAAGAGTGTCCATCCCCGAGAGGGTGTGCACCGTAACCATTATGTGAATATATACCCATCCGCTTCTCCCCCTCCCATATGCCCGACACTCAATGAAAGTTATTACTATATATGCACTTAAGTGTTGATGAGTTAATACCAATTTGATGGTGAGTACATATGGTGCTTGTTTTTCCATTCTTGGGATACTTTACTTAGTAGAATGGGTTCCATCTTTATCCAGTTTAATACAAGAGGTGCTATATTACCATTGTTTTTTGTGGCTGAGTAGAAGAACTCCATGGTATATATATACTACATTATATTAATTCACTCATGTATTTTTT